GATAAGAAGTTTATATAAATTATATAAGCTAAATAACTTCTAAGATATATGTTATATAAGTTAAATATATATTTATAAAGTAGTACCTCTTATAAAAAAATATGTAATACACTAAACATATGTGTTATATAAAATAATAACTTATAAGTTATAAAAGTTAAATAAGTCTATTTTAGCTAATAGCTCAATCTCATGTGTTGCTTCTACAGATGTGCTAAAAAAAAAAAATCACTAAAACACAGCAAGAGCAAGAAAGAGAAAGCCAGAAATCTGGTTGCAAACTTAAATTAAATTTTAAAAAAAGACTTGCCAGATGGAGGCCTGCTTGGAAGAAAGATAGTGGTATCTGGTGACCCAGGCAGAGACTGTGGAAGCTGGGCATTTTTAAATTGTGTGACTCACTCCTTAGGGTCAAACCAGAAAGTCAGTGAGGAAGAAATTTCCAGAGAAAAATCTGTTTGTAAGCAGGGTGGGGGTGGCTGGCTTAGCGAAGGGGGAAATCAATACCATCAAATGGGACCATTAGCATGAAAGCTTATAACTGATCAATCTGTTCCTGAGAATTGCTAACTGTCCTGCCATCAATTTCGCTCAGAACCATGAAGGAAGGTGTAAGTGGGAATGTGCGGTCAGGGTCAGAGAAACTGGGCCCAGTGGGAAACACCGACGTACAAATGTCACCCCTTTCACATGAACGCCTGAACTATCTCAAGGGGGAAAGTAAGGAAATCAAACCACATACACCCCTGGGAAGTCTCACAAGGTCATGGTTTTTAATGCGTTTGGAGGAAGAATTTCCCACGTTTGACTATGTGAAAAGGAAATAACCAGGTACAATCAAAGAAGAAGGCAAACAGGACATCCATCCACAGGGCTAACAAATAAATGGTTCTGAAGAAGTGGGAAGACAAACATATGCACACCTTCTCTAAATCCCCGGTGTGTTTGGTCAAGGACACAGAGCTTAATGGAAGCAAGGTCCCCGGCCCAGGAGCAGAGGCCGCATTGCCTGTCCCCGTCGTGGGTGGGGTGCCCTGCCACACTGGTCTCTGTGCATGGACAGAGCAGCGAGGGAAGCCTCTTTCTTGCTCTGCGATTGCCCTTTCATACCTGGCCTCCCATTAACAATCTGAAAACCCCACACTGGCAATCTCCTAAGGAAATATTTATAAACATCAAGGTCTCCTCATTCCTAACCCACACTTAGCCTCCACAAGGCCCCATCCCCTTGGGAGTAGCAAGGAGAGGCTAAACTGTGTCTGTCCCAGGCTCCCAGGGGCCCAGAAAGCCTGTCTCCTCTCAACCATTTGGATGAAGGCGCTGAAACAGACAGTGTTGCTTAGCACACTCGCCAGAGAGCGGAGAATTCAGGAACCTGAGAACACAGGAGCTGTTGTGGGAGGCCCTGTCCATGGGTTCTAACATAACAAACCATGCAGAGGACAGAAGAGTAGCAAAGAATGACAAAGGGTACATCTGGCCACTATAACCTACCTTATTTGGCTCCCAAGCACCCATGGATCTTTCCAGTCCTTTTCTGAATTCCATTATCTAAGATTCCTCATCCACCCTTTCACCTACATTGATTAGAACAGCATCACACACACACACACACACACACACTCACGACTGTTTCTAAGCATCATTAGGCTTCCACGTGTTTGCCAAAGGCATGCAATACATAAAAGGGTGTATTCAAAAGGAATTAGTGTCTCTGGGTTCAGAGACATTTCTGAAGGAACTAGATCTTCCTGAAAGCTACTATTTAAACTCCCTGGACCTACAATTCATGTTGCATCAAAAAGGAAGAAAAATTTTTAAACATTAATAATGGGAAACTCTGGACACCCAATCTTCAATGTCTGTAATGAAAACAGAAATGATATTCAAATTAAAGTGTCCAAGGGAGAGATACACAGCAGAAGGCAGTGGCGCCTCTATGCTGCATTGGTGTGGACTGCGAGCCAAGTAGTCAGCCCAGTAAGAAAAAGAGCACTGGCCTCTTGTCCTCCATAAGAGCTGAGGGCCACTCCTTCTCCTGTCCCTCCCAGGACCATTGGGAAGACCCCTAACTCAAGCTCCAGCAAAAGAAAGAAATGCTGCTTCTCAAAGTATAGGTTCCTCAGTTCTCTCTCACTTCCAATCTATCACGCTGGGAACTCACAAAATGAACCCAATGAACTGAAAAGTAAGCAGAAAGATGAAAACGGGGGGAGGGGGGACCTAGTGGTGTTTATGAGCCTGTAACACAAAGCAGTAATAGTGAGGGAGGAACTCCCACCAGCCGCAGGCCCTGCTTTAGTCTCAAGTCCAAGTAAACATGGGTCTTACCCAGTAATCCCCAAAGGTCAGGGGTCAGGGCAAATTCTTCCGCCTGGGAGCAGAGTTAGGAGATACACAGAGCATTTCTTTCCCTCCCCTGGGTGAGGAACAACAAACCCTGACACACAGATATCCCTCGACTCCACTGTTTCCTGGGATCGGGAAGCCCAGGCGAGAAGCCACGCTGGGAAAGTTTTCCCACGGGGCTCTGCCAGGGATTCCATTCCTGAGCCACACACCCCAGGCTGCAGCCAGAGCTCAAGGACATGAGGGCAGAGACTGTTACATTCTTGGATTGTCAGTAATATAAACCAGTAGGGCTTTCCATCCAGGCCAAGAGCTGAAGGGGTCATGTGGTATAGCACACACATCCTTCCCAACAGGGGAGCCATCATGCGGCACAGATTTCTAAATATCACTGATCTCATTTGTAGCATTTATACAGCAAAACACAGAGAACACTTAATCCTTGCATTTCTGAAAATTAGAACCTAACACAATTTAAAGAGTTAAAAATGACTCTAACAGCATATCCTAGCAAAAACTGATACCTTGCTGGTTAAAGGCTAGAAAGCTAGTCTAAAGTTGTAGAGTGTCCTGCATCCTAAGAGAAGGAAGATTGAAGTTCCTTTTGGAGCATACCTTCCATTTGTTCTATTAGTTGATATTTGCTTCTTTGTGCTGCTGTACTTAGTATGAGTGTGAAATCTGAATATGGAAAAGTCCATGTGGTGGTTCTCACTGCTCACTGGGATATTTCCTGTGAGAAATGCCATCAGAGTGGGATTTGTCATTTTTCCTTAAGAGACTATATGATTATCACCTTGGGAAGGAGGGAAGACCAAGCTGCATGGACCTTTCAGTTCCACCAGCCAACCTACATGGGTCTCATGGGCAGAATTGGAAGAGACTTACCATGTCCATGGATTGGAAGACTAAACATAGCAAATGTCAATCTCTCTCCCCGCCCGGCCACAAAATTAATATATAGGTTAATGCAACCCCTATCAAAATCCCAGTAAGATTTTTGTCATATTATTCTAAAATGTATATAGAAAGGCAAAGGAACTAGAATTGTTAACCCAGCTTTTGGAAAAGAAGAAGAAAATGGAAGGCATCAGTCTACCTGATTTCAAGCAATAATAATGAAGATTCTGTTGGTGGAGTAGGATAGAAAACTCAGAAACAGACACAAAATTATGCCCAAGTGACTTTTGACAAGTGCAGAAGCAACTGAAAAAAAAAAGTAGCCGTCTTTAAAAATGGTGCTGGAGCAACTGGACATTTAAAATTTTTTTTAATCAATTTTTTTAAAGAAATAAATTCCATAACTTCAAAGTTATAAAACTGTTGAGGGAAAACGGTAATGAAAATGATTGAGATGGACAGGGGGAGAGCTGCTAAGCTGGAGACATGGGCTAACTCAAACTGAAAGGAACCTCCAGGGGACAGAGCCAGAGCCAGGTAAGAGGATATTAAATGCAGGAAGGTGGTCATCCCACGGCTTGTCATGGGTGACCTTCCTGGGTCTTCAGTTTGCAACCATCTGAGTCTCCTCCAACAGAGACTAAATGAACTTCAAATTAGAGACAACTCGAAGAGAACACAGCCCCAGCATTAGGGTGACCACATCTGAAGCAAAAACTATGCCAGCTCTGAGCCATAGAAATGAGAAGCAGATGTCCTGTCGCACATGGCAGTTTCCTTCCTCAGAAAGCCTCCCAGATGTCACTCAGAGGTGGGAGGCTTAGAGCCAGCTTATCCTACGCCTGCCATCCTGTGAACCTGAGTGTGGGGTCAACCCTGGGTGAAAGGCAAAGTAAGTAACTTGGAGATCAGGAAAAATCAGACACCAGCCAACATTATCCTTTTGACCAGGTGAGCACTGGTGAATTATGACACATGAGCAAATCAACTTGAAGCCAGCCAGCTTGTGTGCTCACAAAAAGGAAAGAAACTCATTCGGCTTTTGGTGTCTTTTTCAATTAAACTTACTGGGGTGACAATGGTGAATAGGGTCATGTAGGTTGCAAGTTTACATGTCTATGACACATGATCTGTATGTTGCATTGTGTGCCCACCACCCATAGTCAAATCACCTTCCGTCTTGGTGCCCTTTTTTATAAACATCCATTAATTGTCCAATCATGTGTAAAAGGCTCCCAAACCCAAATAATCCCAGTGGATTGGTTCTTCTGGCAAAATCACTCAATGATTTGGCTCTAAACATTTTCCATCACCTTGGCTACTGCCACATAATTCCATTAGTCAATGTTTTCTTCTTTGAGCTCCTGAATTTAGTATGAAACTGAAATCTGAATCTGAAAATGCCCATAGGGTGGTTCTCACTGCTCACAAGGGGCCATTTGAAATGGAAAAGGCCCCATTATTCTATTCGCAAGCCTGGGAGCAATTGAGAGCACCTGGTCTCCATCCCCAGCTGCAGGCTGCAATCACCTGCGACTTTAGAACCCTTACTCTCTGTTCCACCCAGATTTATTGACTTTTAATTTTCTGAACTTTCTCTTAAACTCATTTAGAGGCCAGGACCATGTCCATGGTAAGTGCTCAGTTCCCACGTGTTGAATGCATCTGTGAACCCATCGGCAGTGGGTGTGCAGGTCAAGGTGCTAGGGGCCTGGGGACAGAGGAGGGAGGCGATGGATCCAGGCACTCACCAGTCCGTGGCAGGAACTCAGGGCCGCAGTCCCCATGCCGGTGCCTTGCTGCAGAACTGTGCCCCTGAGATGGCAGGGCGGGGCAGATGACGCCTCCATCTTAACGTGGGACAGGTTCCCATACCTTCTCTCCACGATGTAGCTTTTGGAAAGAAATCCCTGATTGACCGTCAGGTTGAAAAACAGGTCCTCCCCGTCGTGGGAAATTCTGTAGTACACCCGGTCCTCTGGGCTCTCCAAGTCCCTCTTCCTCCTGCTGCCACCAAAGGGATGGTGCAGGCCATAGGACAGAAAATGCCCTCGGGCATCCACACGCACAGGTGCCACCACGTGGTATTCTGGCAGGGCCTTGATGAAATGCTCTGGAAAAAAAGGAGACACAGGGTAAAACAGAGGTCCCTGCTGGGTCTGCATCAAGGCAAATGCACTCCCGTTTGGAACTTAGATTTTAGCTTGTTGGTTGCAAAACCCCACCGTTGACTTTAAGTTTTGAGATCCTTTCCACCATACAAACGCTGTCAACATTAAATTCCCTGAACAACTGACATGGGGCTCCCTCCTCGGTGGCATGTGACCTAAGCTGACGCTGAGGCCTAGCTCTGGATGGCAGATGTTTGACCAGAGACAAACTGAGGCGAGAACTAATTCATGAGCAGTACTCTTAGGGAGAAGGCAAGGTCAGCACGACAAGCAGGAACAGTCCAAGCCCAGAGTTCCCTGCCACAGACAGTAGTACTTCGCTGTTTATTAAGGAGTTTAAACACCTTGGGGGTGTCCTGTTAGGTCAGGTTGAAGAAAAAATGCAAAAGCACAGCAAATGCACCATATACATTCTGACAAACTTTACCAGTTACAGCATACATGGTTGATCGTGCAGCAGAGTGCTTACAGGACCTTGGGTGTTTCTTTTTTATTTTTACAAAATACACAAAAAAAGAGTAAGTGAACCTATGAGGGGCCGAGGCATCAGCGCAAAGTATGAAAATCGCCCCTTTAACAGGGCAAAGCAGGAACATTCATTCCCTGCACACACGGCACACGGGTGCCTTTCGGCTCCCTCACCCCTGGATCTGCCGCTGTGTCCCCACTTTCATGTTTGAGGATTGGGGAGCGACTGTCACTCTGGATTGCAGGCTACTTAAAGCAAACCAGTACACTCGGCAAGGCAAACTAGTCTTCAGCTGGAGACAAAAAAAAAACAAAAAAACAAGAACAGGAAGGGAGGCAGGGAGGGAGGGAGGCAGGGAGGAAAGGGGGACAGAAAGGGAAAAGTGACACCTGCCACCTTGCAGCTGCACCGGCACTTCCTGATTGGTGTTATTTCCTCGCCACTTCCCCAGCTACTTCCTACGTTGTTCACACTCCCTATCAATATCCTATTTATTTATGCCTGTTTATGCTTTAAAGTCCCAACTCCAGTCCTCCCTGTCTCCCTCCTAAGGTCCCCGGTTGAAGCTCTCTCTGCCTGCCGCCTCTGAACCCCCTGTCCCTGCTTTCCGCAGCTCCCAGAAGGGCCTCCTTTTACGATGCCTTTTGTTTACTATACTCTTTATCCCCACACCCTTTGGAGGCCAGAACCTTGCACATCACAGCACCGATGGAGCAGTGAAGACGTTTGTAGCTGGTTAATTAAAAGAACTGAACCTGCTGGGGTACCATGATCAAAGACTTCCTCCCCCAGACAACTGCCTTCAAGCACACTTTGTAGAGAGGTTCATCTCCACCTTGGATGAAATCTGGGACAGAGCAGAGTTTCACTCTTAGGTACTAACAAATTATCTCGGCTTTCAGGTGTAAATTGTCCAGGCCCATTGCTTCCAACTGCAGCAGGTAGAGACAGCAGGCTCCCGTAGAGACAGAGACACGGGCAGATCTTCAAAACAATGCTTGATGCAAAGTATGAGACGAAGCAAGTTAATACAGAGCCATTTACATTCATGGAAAATGTGTGCACACAGAAACAATACTACAAAGTTTGCCAGGACATACGCACACAAAAAAATACATATGGAATCCATTATCGTGGGTTTTTTAGAGGAAAAATGAAAGTGGGGAATGGGGACAAAAATGCATAGATAAATAAAACAAGAAAGGGGTTCTGCACAAATTAGTGATGCTACTATGCCAAGAGCTGGGAGTCAAACTGACTTAGCCCTCTGCACGCCCCCTCACCAAGGAATATCTGCCCTTCCGAGCTCAGACCCCAGGAGAGGAACGGCCGGGCTGGGTGAGGTGGGCGTAGCCGGCCTCCGTTAGTAATTCTCCTGTGTTTCTCTTCTCTTCTCCTACTGGTAGTGATGTCTCTGCCTTCCCAGGATTAGAGCAGTGGAGGGGAGTTAGAGGCAGGAAAAGACTTATTTATGCAGTGGTCCTTGTGTGGGGCCAGTGTCCAGATGCAGATTCCCTCTCTCAGGAGCAGACTTTATGCCCCATATAGGGCCTCTCTCTGAAGATACAACTCAAAGAGTTAAACATAATTTTTGAAAGTATAAATGAGAGACTAAAGCACCTATTTCCCAAAGAATAAAAGAGCAAGCAAATTTCCAGCTTTTGACCAGGTCACTTTTAACCTAACAGGTTTTTTAAAGAGCCAGCATAAGATGACCATACAATAATATAATGATAACACTTACTGTAGCCATTTAACAAGCACTTGCTATGAGCCAGGTACCATAAGTCTCTCCTCATTCAATACTCACAACAACCCCATGATACCGAGTATTATCCCCATTTCACAGATAAAGAAACGGAGGCCAAGGGAGGGCACAGAGCCAATATGCAACAGTGCTCAGATTAAAATCTCGTGCTTCCTATTTCAAAATCATGTTCTTGCCACCGTACTTCATGTACATATATGCAGTTGCACTCGGCAGAGAATGTAAGAGTAGAGGTAATAGCACTGCCCCTGGCAATGATGACCTAACACGCAAAGAACTGCTTGACTTCTTTAAGGGCCTCAATTTGCTCATCAATAAATGGAAATAATAATTGCCTCTTTATCGGGGACAATAACGAGAGATAAGACTGGCTTTGCCTCTTGATGTTACTGCAAAGGAGGCCGCTTAGTCATGTCAGCCCACAGGTGTGGGTGGAAACAGGAGGCTGTGGACCGAGTATGGTTAATGTTGATGGTCCAACTACAGTTGCCTTGTGGGCATAATATCAGTATCTACCTCCTAGGGTGGTGTGAGGATCCAGTGTATCAGTACAGGTAACAGATTTAGAACAGTGCCTGACAATCAGCACTCACTAGTTATTATTGGTATTAAAGACATAAACTTGGCTACTGGTGATCTCTGTGGCCATAAATACATATAACCTCCAAGCAGAGAGAGTGAGCTGCCCCCACTCACCCTGGCTTCCCCTCAGTAGGCGTTTAGTTTGGAAGACTAGGTGGCTATAACCTTGGCCCACAGAAAGCAGAGTCCAGAGGGAATATGATAGGGATGGAGGAATAGATGCCAGGAAATAATAACAGCTCTAATAACAGCTTTACCATTTCTATGGTCAAGCACAGCATTAAGGCTATAGCAACTTGGTCTTGTCTAATGCTCACAGTTCTAAGGGGTGGGTATTTTTTTTTTTTTAAATATATCTTTATTGATTTCAGAGAGGAAAGGAGAGGGAAAGAGAGAGATAGAAACATCAATGATGAGAGAGTCATTGATCGAGCCCGCAACCCGGGCATGTGCCCTGACTGGGAATCGAACCCTGATCACCTGGATCCCAGGTCGATGCTCAACCGCTGAGTCATGCCCGGCCAGGCGGGGTGGGTATTGTTAATGGTGTCCCTTGCCTTAGCCTCCACTCCCACCTCTTTAAAAATAATAAGAGGGGCGAGGACTCATGCTGGGCAACCTGACCCCAGAGACCACCCTCTGAGCTAAGTCCTGAGTGCTTTTTAGGGTCTGCCACTGGGCATCAGCCTTCAAGCCTGGGGGGAGGCTGAGACGCACTATAACGACATTACGGTCTGCCCTGCGGTTTACGAACATAAATTAAAAGCCCTGAATACTGTGAGTTGCTGTGTTTAAAATTCAATTTGAAACCACAAATTCTGATACTTCATGAGAAACTCTAAGTGAAGCCTATTGGCACAAACACTTTTGAAAATACAAAATACCGAGTGATCACTTATCCTCTGCTTAGAAAGAAAGGAGAGAGGTGAGAGAATATTCGCCCGCCGGTCTTTATAAATTTTAGGTTAAATCTATGATTACTCTTCATATTTATTTCTATCTTAGAGAGCAATTGAATTTCTAAGACTCCTTACTGAAAAGGGCAATTCCTGTAATGGAAGTTTGTTTTCATAATTATCTTCCACAGATTGTTGTAGCCTTTCCTCTGTATTTTTATTATAGGAAACTCCATGTGTGGAAATGTTGTGGAGAATCGTGTTGGTCCCCTCAAAGTTATAAGATACACCACAGGAGGCTGGATCTGCTCACCAACCCCATGATTAACCTGCAGAGCATAATTGCTCATTACTATTAACATATATAAAATATCAAAACCGTGAAGTCTCTGCTTACATTAAGAAAATACCCCAAACCATTTTCTCCTTGCAGAATTTATTTTTTGCAGACTGCATAAGTGCACGATTGTAACATTTGTGTTGAAACACACGGCCACACTCCCAGGGCTCTTGCACAAGTCTGTGCGGCCCAGAGCATGGCTCTAACATGGGATCGAGTGCCTGCTCTGTTGATTTCATGGAGCTGTCGGGGGCAAAAGAGGTCACAGAAGTGACTGACGACTTATAAACAGCCCAGGGAATAACACACCTAAGGGGACAGCATTGGCTGCAGAAGAGTGTTTTGTACAAGATGAATATTTCCCATTGTTCTGATCCTTGGTTGGGACCCCTGTGGACATCATTGCACAACTGAGCGATGTGGAAAGTCTACTGAGTGGAGTTTGTCAAATCTGCCTGTTTCTAGTTCCAAAAAGGATTGGATTTATCTCCATACTCCTTCCTCAGTCTAACATCCTGACTTTGCTCGACCCTTAGGCCTACAAGGAGCCTTAACAGTTACCTAGGTTCTGAATGAATTTCCAACTGTGGGGCTCTTTTCACCCCTCTGGTGAAATAGCAATTGGCGGGTACTCGATGAAAACATGTTGACTGACAGACTGGCCACCTAGACCACCCATTCTCATCTGTAAAAATAAGAAGGCTGGGAGATGTGATATTTAAAGCACTTATGTTCAGAATGTGGGTGCAACTCAAAAATGCTGTCAGAGTTCCAGGAGAAGTCGAGGGGGACTGGCCAATGTGAAGCAGCAGGCAGCTTGTGTGGAAGAAAAACCCAAGTCATCAGATTCCCAGGAAGCCTCAACATTTCCTTCTCTGACTGGTCTGCTCTCTCAACTTAGTCCTCAATGGAACTCTGCTCAGAAATTTCTCCTTCGCATAAAATGTGGATTGAAGACAAATATTCTGGTGAAAGGGCATTTAAAATCTGAAATTATTTTTAAAACCTAATATATCTACTTATCGCTAATAAGCTTGGAGCACTTTACAGCTATTTTTCCATGTGGAACACTCTCAGTACATAACCCTAAAGGTGACCAGGGAAAACCATCACCTCCCCACTTTCTAAGGAAGAGAAAGCAAGGCCCTGGGCTGTCTGCTCCACACTACCCTGGATTCTCTTTCGAAGATGCAGAGCAGGCAGTGCTGAAAGCCAGCCCAGGAGAATGTGTCTTTGAACCAAGCCATCTCTAAATGCCCTGGGAAGTGCTCGAAGGCTTTGTTTGTGCTGCCACAGAAGAGAGATTTTTCACAAAGGAGCTGTTTTTCAAAGAACAACAAACGCTGCTATTTTAAACTTGGGGGTGGGAGATTGTATCTGGGCCCTGCCTGACATCCAACCCCAATGCTGCGGCTCCAGCTTCCAAGGAAAGCAAAGGAACTGGCTTTTGCTGGCTCTTGAGTCTCAGCAGGTGAGCTCTCCAGCAGTTTTGAACTTAGCAATGTAAGCAGAAACCCCTGCGTGGAAAGCCTACGAAGGGTGGGCTGGTGATGTTTGCCACCCAAGTGGTTTTGGGGATCAAAGTGGGTCAGGAAGTATGGAAGTTTCCCAAGACTTGAGCATAGTCAGCAGACACAGGACTTAATGGATGCTAAGCCAGTGCTCTGTGCCTGTGTGTTGTCCTATTACTGCTGCTGGGCAATGCTGCTTGATGGTAAGGGGCCAGCCAGCCTCTGGAGTCAGGCGACCTGGGTTCAAAACCTCACTGCACCACTCGCTAGGCCCATAAACTCTCCACACTTCAGCTGCCTCATTGTAAAACAGTAACAACGGCCCCTGCACCCAGGAGGCTGTTGTGGGTGGTCAGTGGCTGGACACACACAGGGTGCCTTAGCACTGTTGGTGCAGAGAACACTCTCCTGTTTTCTCCCAGAGGCACAGTGAACTCCCCACCAAACTGCAGAGTCTCTGGCCCTTCCAAGTCCAATAAAACAGTACCAGCCTCCTAGGGTATCAGGCTTAAAAATAATTAAAACAACAAAGGGTCTATCACAACTGCCCCAGTGCTTCCTAGGGCATTAGGAGCTTCACAAAAACTCAGAAAGGGACACAGCTGGCTGTGATCAGGAAGGAGGGACAGGAAAAGGTGAGCCCCTACGGTGGTAAATTTTCTCCTAAATGACTGTTATTTTTAAAACACAGCCCTAAATCTTTCCAGGAAACCAAAACACAACCAAACTCACTCAGCAGGGGGCCGGAGTCACATTTCCCCCTTCCCTGCGCAGAGTTTAAAAAGCACCAGAAACGCTGCCATGTCTGCCAGGAGCCAGCTGGAACTTTTATAAAATAAAATAAAAAAATCCTTCTCTGGGTTCAGAATCTGAAAACCAGGGGACTGAACCAGGGCAGCTGCAGAGAACACAAAAGAGAGAGGTGGGGGGGTTACCAGCTACCTCTGGAGTCCTGGCTGCAGCAGCATCAGTGAAAAGAGACAGGACACTCACCTTTCAGTGAGAATTAGGGAACCACCGCCGCAAACCCTGAATTCTGAGAACCCCTATGCTCCTGAGCTCCCAGCTCAGATTTCCTCACAACTCAGCCGAAAGGCTCCGCAGAGTTCAGCCGAGTGGGGGAAGGGAAGAGGGAGCCACCAACTTTTCACACGTTTTATTTACCTCTAGGTTTCCAAACGGAAAGAGAGAAAAGCCACCAACCTTGCCTGCTGTCGGGGAAGCGCACCCGGCCGGGCTGCGGGTGCCGCGCATAGCACAGGCCCCCAAAGTTCAGGAGCTGAGCCACCACCGACAGGTTTGCGAGCCAGCTCCTCTGGGCACATGGCATGATTCAGTCGTTGGGGAGAAGCAAAGTCACCAGGTTTGGGCTCTCAGCTTAAGAAACCGAGTCCCCGCCGGCGGCCCTGCGGGGAGGCGCCGGGGCGCATGGTCCAGGAGCGGGGCGGGAGCGGCGGCCAAGCTGCGCAGACCTCCCTCCGCTTTTTTAAGCAGCCAGGGGCTAGTTACCTTGATTTCCCCTCCCTCCTCCTACAGGGGGAGTGATTTCTGCTGACAGCGTTTGTTTCGCGCGGGGTGTGGAAAGGCTCTGGAGGGGAGGGCG